TGTTGAGTCTGAACTACCCAAAACACCTCTGAGTGGGGTGGACCAGGAGACACATGGTAAATGGGTCCAAGGGTCAGGTGATTCAGCTGGGACAGGGCTGGAGCTCTGGGTGTCACTAGCATATATTCACAGAGAGTGAGGATGTTGAGTTTGAAGAGGATTCATGGCAGAGCACCAAGGGAAGCCAGTATTCCCAGAGGAGGCTTCAACCAGGAATGCCCTCTGAAATATCTTTACTCCTTCATGATCCAAATCGAAAGAACTGAAAAGAACTGTTTTTCCTATTTGCAGATTATCCTTCCTCATTCTGTTTTGTTTTGTTTGGGTTTGGGTTTTGTTTGTTTGTTTGTTTGTTTTCTGGTTGTTTGTTTGTGGGGGGTTTTTTGTAAGGAGACAGAATTCTAAGCCCTATGTCTTTTAATTCAACAATGGCTACACATTATTACTGAAGCAAGCCCCAGCAATTCAACAACAAATCAGAGTATTTGATAAGACAGACGCTCAGCAAGCCAGTACATCTTAGATTTGAGAAATAATATTAGGCACACTCTAGTTACTCTAACTGGATAGCAGTACAGATCCCCAAGTGATTCCCCTTCCTCTGTGTCCGCCATCTAAGCCTCACCCCAGAAAGATCACAGCTCCCTGCCTGCTTGGCCCTGATTTGTTCTAATCACTGCCTGGGATGTTCTAGTGTTACTTTTTTCTTCTTTTACTGAAGTATAGTTGACATAAAATGTTATATCAGTTTCAGGTTTACAATAGTGATTGGACAAATCTGTACATAGGCTATGCTCACTGTGGTGAGTGTAGTCACCATACAATGCTATCATACTATTGACAATATTCCCTATGCTGTACTTTTAATCCCCATAATATATTTATTTTATAACTGGAAGTTTGTTAGTGTTGCCTTTTAAGGTAGCCCAGGCCTGTGGAAGGACCAGAAAGGCTAGGAGGGATTGAGTCAGGGCCATTAAGTCATTTCCACTTCTTCCTTGGAGTGCTCTCCAGTCAAGTGGAAGCCTAGAAGATTTGTTATTTGGAGCATTAGAGCTGTGGAATGTTAAGAGTTCTACCAAAAAAGGATTCTATAGCTAAATAATAGGGAATTTTAACAAAATTAATTTGAACAAAATTAAACAGTTCTCTTTAAGTTAAAAAAAAAAAGAGGAAAAAAGATGATGAATATTTACATATGAGCTACCATAAAGTTTATACTTATTCTGTAGTTGAGTGTCTTGGGCTGTTTGCTAAAAAGGGCAAAGAGCTTTCTGGGGATATAGAAAGATCAGTGGTAATGGTTCCAAAAATGGTTGGTTTATTTCCTTGAAATTATAAAAAGTTTTAATAGGAAACTATAATTTTTTTAAAAGTTGGCTTCACACCCAGCATAGGCCCATCTGGAGCCTGAACCCAGGACCCGGAGATCAAGACTTGATGTAAGATCACAAGTCAGATGCTCAACCAACTGAGCTACCCAGGTGCCCCAGGAAACTGTGATTATTAAAATAGTATTTGTTTTACTTAAGTTATAAACTGTATTTGTATAAGAGATTGATTTTTATGTACTAAACTCAAAGATTATCAATTTCACCAACTTTGTTCTAGGCTCTAATAGGTCTCTGAATTCTTTCTTTCTTTTTTAATTTTACAGAGAGAGAACAAGGGAGGAGGGGCAGAGGGAGAGAGAGAAAATCTCAAGCAGGCCCCATGCACAGTGCATCCATTTTCATCAGGGATATTGGCATGTAATTGTCCTTTTTAGTGAAGTCTTTGTCTGGCTTTGGAATCAAGGAAATGTTGGGCTCATAGAAAGAAGCTTTCCTTTTCTTTCTTTCCTTTTCCTTTTTTTTTTTTTTTGGAAGAGTTTGAGAAGACTAGATATTCTTTATTTTATTACTTTTTTACTCTTAAATACAGAGAATAAACTGAGGGTTGGTGGAGGGGAGGTAGTAAGAGGATGGGTTAAGTTAAATAATGGGCACTAAGGAGGGCACTTTTTGGGATGAGTGCTGGGTGTCATATATAAGAAATGAATCACTGGGTTTCCACTACTAAATCCAAGACTATGCTGTATGTTAACTAACTTGAATTTAAATTAAAGAGAGAGAGACAGAGAGAGAGAGAGAGAGAAAGAGAGAGAGAGAGAAATAAGTATTTTTTAAATGTTTGGTAGAATCCCCCTGAGAAGCCATCTGGCCCTGGACTTTTGTTTATTGGGAGATTTTTGATTACTGATCCAATTTCTTTGCTGGTTATGGGTCTGTTCAAATTTTCTATTTCTTCCTGTTTCACTTTTGGTAGTTAATATGTTTCTAAGAATTTATCTCTTATTCATGATTTTGTCTATTTGGGTCCTTTCTCTTTTCTTTTTAAAAGTCTGGCTAGGAGTTTATCAATTTTATTAATTATTTCAAAGAACCAACTCCTAACTTCATTGATCTGTTCTATTGAGGGGTATTTGTTTCTATACTATTTATTTCTGCTCTACCTTCATTTGCTGTTACTTTTCTAGCTAGTTTAGGTTGCATATTTGAGATCTTTCTTGCTTCTTGAGGTAGGCCTGTATTGCTATGTATCTCTCTTTTATGGCTGCCTTTGCTGCATCCCAAAAGTTTTGGATGGTTGTGTTTTCATTTGCATTTGCTTCCATATATCTTTTTATTTCTTCTTTAATTTCCTGGTTAGCCCATTCATTCTTTAGTAGGATGTTCTTTAACCTCCATGTATTAGCAGTCTTTCAAAATTTTTTCTGGTGGTTGACTTCAAGTTTCATAGTGTTGTGATTGGAAAATATGCATAGTATGATCTCATTCTTTTTGTATTTGTTGAGGGCTGATTTGTGACCCAGCATGTGACCTATTCTGGAGAATGTTCCATTAGCACTCAAAAAGGACATGTATTCTACTGCTTTTGGATAAAATGTTCTTAATGTATCTGTTAAGTCTATCTGGTCCAATGTGTCACTCAAAGCCATTGTTCTCTTGTTGATGTTACGCTTAGATAATCTGTCCATTTCTGTAACTGAGGTGTTAAAGTCCCCTGATATTATTGTATTATTATCAATGAGTTTCTTTATATTTTTTTATTAATTGATTTATATATTTGGCTGTACCAAACTGGGAGCATAAATATTTACAATTGTTAGATCTTCTTGTTGGATAGATTCCTTTATTATGATACAGTGCCCTTCATCTCTTGTTACAGTCTTTGGTTTAAAATCTAGTTTGATAGAAGTATGGCTTCTCTGGCTTTGTTTTGACGTCCATTAGCATTATAAATTATTCTCCATCTCTTCACTTTCAATCTGCAGGTGTCTTTAGGTCTAAGATGGTCTCTTACAGGCAGCATATAGGTGGGTCTTTTTTTTTTTTTTTTTAATCTGTTTTGATACCCTATGTCTTTTGACTGGAGCATAGTACATTGACATTCAGAGTGATTATTGATAGACAATGAATTTAGTGCCATTGTATTACTTGTAAAGTCAATGTTCCTGGAGATTTTCTCTGTTCCTTTCTAGTTTTTGTTGCTTTTGGTCTTTCCCACTCAAAGAGTCCCCTTAAATATTTCTTTCAGGGCTGGTTTTGTGGTTACAAACTCCTTTAGTTTTTGTTTGTCTGGGAAACTCTTTATCTCTTCTTCTATTCTGAATGACAGCCTTGCTGGATAAAGTATTCTTGGCTGCATATTTTTCCCATTCAGCACATGGACTATATCATGACACTCCTTTCTGGCCTGCTAAATTTCTGTGAATAGATCTACTGCTCACCTTATTTGTCTTCCCTTGTAGGCTAGGGATTTCTTTTCCCTTACTGCCTTCAGGATTCTTTCCTTATCTTTGTGTTTTGCAAATCTTACTAATGTCTTGGTATTGGCCTGCTTTTTTTTTTTTTATTTTGATGGGATTTCTCTGTGGCTTCTGGATTTAGATGTGTGTTTCCTTCCCCAGATTAGGGAAGTTTTCAGCTATAATTTGCTAAATTAAATCTTCTTCCCCTTCTTCCCTGTCTTCTTCTGGGACTCCTATTATATGAATGTTATTATACTTTACAGAGTCACTGAGTTCCCTAAGTCTACCTTTGTGATCCAATATTTTTCCTTTCCTCTTCTTTTTAGCTTCATTTCTCCCATAATTTTATCTTCTCTATCACTCATTTGTTCCTCTGTTTCTTTCATCCTTGTGGTCATTACTTCCAGTCGGTTTTGAATCTTGGTTATAACATTTTTATTTCGGCCCGGCTAGTTTTTAGATCTTTTCTTCTTTTAATTTTTAATGTTTATTTTTGAGACAGAGAGAGAGAGAAAGAGACAGTGTGTGAACAGGGGAGGTGCAAAGAGAGAGGGAGACACAAAATCTGAAGCAGGCTCCAGGCTCTGACCTCTCAGCACAGAGCCCAATGCAGGGCTGGAACTCACAGACCGTGAGATCATGACCTGAGCTGAAGTCGGATGCTTAACCGACTGAGCCACCCAAGTGCCTCTAGTTTTTAGATCTTTTATCTCTGTGGTAAGGGACTCCTTGGTGTCTTCTACGCTTTTCTGAAGCCCAACTAGTATCCTTATGATGGTTGTTTTAAATTCTTGTTCAGGCTTATTACTTATATCTGTTTTGATTAGATTCCTGGCTGTGACCTTTCCTTGTTCTTTCTTTTGGGATTAATTCCTCTGTTTTGGCATTTTGTCTAGGTCTCTGTCTTCTTCTCTGTGTTAGGAAAGACTGTAACGTTTCCAACTCCTGAGAGTAATGCTGTATTAAGAAGAGGTCTGGGCTTTTCTGTCCTGGGCCTGGTGCTTCAGGAAGTGTCTCTGGTGTATGCTGTGTGCACTCTGCTGTTGTGTTTTCATTGCTCTTTCCCTCAGATCAGTCCTTTGCAGAGTTTCTCTTTACCAGCAATGAGGAATTTTGGATTTTGCCCAGTGTGTGGTGAGATTTAACTAGGTCAAACTCCAGTTTTGGTCTGCTTATTAAAAAAGGCTAGATCCTCTTTCTACTACAGCTAAAGTTTTGCAGCAGTGGACTTGGTCAGTGCAAGAGGGGTGTATTTAGTCCTGGTCTTCTGCAGGGAAGGCAGAAGACTACTGCTGTTCTGGCTCTCAGGCACACTTGCCCTAGTAAAAAACATACCTGCAGAGTGCAAGGGGGGTCGAACTTGGACTGAAGTCTATCTGTACTTCCATGATGTGGCCTCTTTTCTCCCTCTGGCTGTGCAGTTTGTTTTCTTAGTCCTCAGATTTATTTCTTGGGTGTTCTGAATGATTTGATATTTATCTAACTATTATCAAGGGACAAGGCAAGCATAGGGTCCACCTATTCTAGAACACTCCTCTCAATAATCTTTGGTTTTGGCCTCTCACAGAGCAGTCATGTAAGCCTCCAAAGAGCCTTTGTTAGAAAATGAAGGAGGAAGAAATTGGAGGAAGAACACATCTTGTGCACATGCCCACAGAGATAAATAGCCTGGGTGTTCCTGGAGCTCCTGTGGGTGCACACACCTCTACCTCATTCTGTTTGCTTTCACTATGGCTCGCTGGTGAAACACACACACACACACACACACACACACACACTGGGACACACTGCAGGTTGGCTTTACTTCCTAGGAGAATCCATTCTGCTCTGGTGAGTCCCGGGGAAGTTCTCAACTTCCCCTGTTCAGAGCCACCTCTTATAAATCCTTTTACTCTCTCTGCTGATTAAATGGTAGATCCCTGTTGGATAGAGAATATCAAAACTCTGATAAAATGTCCTTAACACGCACTGAAGACATTATCATAATGCTTGTGGTTATAGTTTGCTCTAAATAGGCCCCATGCTGTCTGGATGTAGTAGATAAGGCCTAGAGAGGCCTTAAGTGTCCAAAGAACAGTGACAGGGAAGTTGTTTACAGCTCAAGAGCTTCACATTCTGGCTTCTATGGTCCCTTGTTCCATGTTTCTCAGTGTTTATTTGAGTTCTAGAGAGTGAAAGCCCAATCTTCATGCAGCCAGACAATATGTTTGTATTTCTAACCCACACTTGAAGGCCTCAGAGCTCCAGTACAACTCCATAAGAAAATACTACTGCAGTTTTAGTGTATTTTTAAGTATGAAAGAAACCCCAAAGCTTTTGTAATCTTAAGTGTAATAAAATATCAATGTGCTAATTTATCAGCACAAATAGATCTGACCAAGCAATATAAACAAAACAAAGGAGGGAAACAAAAACTTGTTAGATGCTTAAACAGTTTCTTAAACTGATAATTCTATTTTAGTCTTTCAACCTGACTAAAACAGAGCTTGGAACAGAGTACCACATTAACCTGACTTTATTGCTCACTATATAATGAGGAGTCCCAATATTTTAAATCATTGTCTTTGACATCTTGGGGAGGAGGAGCAAAAGAGAACAAAAAATTGTCCAAACCAATCTGCTTAGCATCTTGAAGCAAGCAGTTAACTCACTTTCTATCTTGTCTTTTTAAAGTAGGAATATGAATGGTTCCCTCATCCACTCTCCTCTCTTGTATTATAACACAGCTCCGTCATTCTTCTGATCACATCAAATCTTAACTACAGTATTTCTTCTAGCTTATCTGTTTCTCCTCCTGAAGACAGGGATCCCGTCATAACAGATGGAACAAAGTAAAACTGAGCCCTGGCAAATTGGAAATGATTCTCCACAGACAATCTTGTCCCTCTTCAGAGCCTTGAGCAATGCACATTTGTATACAAGTTAACACCTTGGGTAAATAATTGATCTGTCCCAATGCATCTAAGTAAACAGCTGAAATGGATTTTCAGCTGGGTTTTCACAATGCTCTTTGCAGGCTTTTTGTCTTTGTTACCTTATGGGGAAAATGAGGGTTAACTTATTATGGACAATCACATCCATTCTCTGTACCACTTTGCCCAGAGAAAAGTGGTAACATTGGAACAATACTATACCTCACATTTTTCCTTGAAAAATAAAGAAAACAGAATGATTCTGCCAAAGTCTGAGAAGAAAGGCAGAGCCATTCCCCAAGGCCCTCAGAAAGCCATCTGGCTGCAATCTTTCCCCGGAGGTTTTTGGCCCAGAGACAAAGCACATTTGTATCAGATGGATCAACACTGTCACCCAGTGGACAAACAGGTAGGTGGGCTGAGGCCTTAGCCGTGCTCTTGGCTTGGAAGCCAGTATTTAAATAGGAACCTGGCTTGTTTTAGGTGATCACAAAATAATTGTCAATATTCTCTTACCTGGAATTGGGAGGATCTCATCTGACAGGACTTTGGCTGTCACGAATGAATGCAACTTAGGGAGGACATACATTTTCATTGTGCACGTGCTTTTTTTTTTTTTTTTTTTACCACTAGTAAATTTATAGGAAGCATAGACTATAACCAACCAAGCAAGTCTGCTAAGACTCATAGGCTCAGATAGGCTTGCAGAAGGCGAGAGGTATTTGATCACCTGCCAGATACTATGGGAAGATTTCCCTACCACAGAATAAGACTCATTGTTCATTGTTTATAGTGACAGTGGATGTGTATTTTGAAAACTAAAAAAACAAAGTTTTTTTTTTTTTTTTTTGGTGCATATGTGGATTGAAATCTGAGAGGGAAATCAGTAGATGAGCTGTTTTTGCTATCTCTGTTTTGTACACATCTCAAAGGACATGCGTGGATGCAGCCTCTGCCCCATTTCATTCTTCCTGCGTCTCTGTAGTTTTCACTGTCATTTGATGCTCTCAACAAACCGGCTTACTGTTCATATTAAGGTGAGAGGCTCTTTGCCTTAAGCCTTTTTTGCTAAATGTACCTTTAAATTAGTTTCTTCTGCCCAGCTGGAACCCATCAACAAGCTGAAAGCATTCATCTGGTATTACTTTACACTTCTTCTGAAGTAGTGGGGACTGAGACTTCACCTTGTGGGATGATGCTTTTGTAGCATCTTGACTAAAAGTAAAGTTTCTGCTTATTGGAGGGAAATCTGGGTTTGAATCCTTACCCTACCACTTGCTAGGTAGCTCCTTGGCTGTGGACAGGTTACTTAATCTTCTTAAAGTTTAGTTGCCATCTAATGAGAAACAATGAAATCTGGCCATGTGTAGCAACATGGATGGACCTTGAGGGTGTTATGCTGAGCGAAATAAGTCAGGCAGAGAAGGACAAATATCATATGTTTGCACGTATAGGAGGAACTTGACGGAGGAACAAGGGGGAGAAGAAGGGGGGAAATGGTGGGGGAAAGGGAGAGAGGCAAACCATGAGAGACTCTTGAATGCTGACAAAAACTGAGGACTGATGGATGTGGGGGGGAGGGGGGGCTGGGTATGGAGGAGGACACTTGTGGGGATGAGCACTGAGTGTTATGTGGAAACTAATTTGACAATAAACTATTTGTAAAAAAAAAAAAAGTTTAGTTGCCATCTATATTATCAGGGACAATATTAGCACCTACCCCCTCAGAGGTTAATCCCTTCTGTAGGGATTTAGATAGGAAAATACAGATGAATAATAGCACAGTGCCTGGGCACATAGTAAAAAGTCAATAAACATTAGTGTTAGCATTATCATAATTATTACAATGACAGCAGTTATACTTAATATTACTAAAATGTAATTTTTATAAAGTATCTCTAGACTGGCAGATGAAACCATGATATTTTTTGAGCTAGAAGGATCCGAGAGACCGTCCAGTCTATTGTTCCCATTAAAATCATCCAGGGAAGCTTTTAAAAAACATTGAAATCCCAAATAGCCAGATGAAAGAATGCTTATTATTTGAATCTTTTCAGATGAAAATCTAGAAAAGGCAGACCTAATCTATGGCAACAGAAAGCAGATCAGTGATTTCCTGGTGATGAAGGTGGAAGGACTGCAGCTACGGGGCTGAAGGAAACTTTCTGGGGTGGAGGCACTTCCTCAAATATGCACATTGTCAAAAGTCCTTGGAACTGTACAATAAAGTGGGTGCATTGTATTGTATGTGAAATGTACCATAATAAGGTTGATGTAAGCTGATGCTCAGGGCCCCTGGGTATCTCAATTGGTTAAGCATCTGACTCTTGAGTTTGGCTCAGGTCATGATATCACAGTTTGTGAGTTCGAGCCCCACTTAGGGATCTGAACTGACAGGCAGAGCCTGCCTGGGATTCTCTCTCTCTGCCTCACCCCTGCTCACGTGAATGTGCTCTCTCAAAATAAATAAACGTTAAAAAAAAAAAAAGCTGATGCTGAATCTCATCCACAGGAATTCTGATTTAACCATTCTAGGGTGAGGCCCAGAAATCATTTTTTTTCATGCACCTAAGGCGGGAGCCAGTGGTGAGAGCCACTGATCTAATTCAGTCCTGTATGCTTGCCAGTGAGATCAACCCAAACTGGTACAGATGATTATGGTGGAAAGGGTAGGACTAAAATCCAGGTCTCCAGATTCCTTGTGCTCTGAGCCTTTGCCTTTACTAATAACATCCCTTCTCCCTGGAACTTCCCTCTCCTTTTTACCTCTCTGTATCAAAACCCTTTTAGGGTTCAGCTCACATCTCATACCTCTCAGCAAGCCATAGACTGCATCACACCCCCGCCTTGGACTAGGAGTCCCTTGGAAGCACAGACTATGACTTTTTTTAAAATTTTCTTTCTTTTTTTTTTTTGGTATCCTCAGTACCCAATATTGTGCTTGGCACAGGACAGACATTCCATACACATTTGTTGAACTGAAAAATTGGAGGAAGGGAATTAACATTTAATAAGTACTCATGATGTGCCAGGAATTGAAACAAGCACTTTATGCACATTATCTCACTGAATTTTTACAATTTTATGAGTTGGTTATCATTTTCCCTTTTTGTAAGGGAGGAAACAGGCTCAGAGAGGTTTAGTAATTTGCCCAAGGTCATACAGCCAGCAAATGGTAGAATCAAGGTCTGGAATCAGGTCTGTTTGTTTACAAAGTGCATGCTTTCTCTACCATACTGGGCTGACTCAGTCACAGTAGTTATTCTGTTCACCTTAAAATATGTATATTATATATACTATCTCCTTGCTTAGATTATAACCTTTTTAAATGCAAGAATTAAATTTTAGCATTTATAAGTCCATATGAACTCAGCAGGTAGAGGATTTGATCAGTATTGACAGTTTTTTTTTTTAAGTTTATTTATTTATTGGAAGGGATGCAGGGAAAGAGAGAGAGAGAATGAGCAGGGAGGGACAGAGAGAGAGGAGAGAATCCCAAGCAGGCTCCACACTGTCAGCACAGAACTCAAAACAGGGCTCTATCTCACAAACCATAGGCTCTTGACCTGAGCTGAAATCAAGAGTCGGACACTTAACTGACTAGTAACCTAGGTGCCACCAGAGTATGCAGTTTTTAACTTCACTAAAGTAACCATAAGGATAACCCTAAAGTTATAAGAATACCTACAGCTATTAGTCAAGGGGGTTCTCAAGGGGGTACTAAGGAAGGTTGTGATTCAAGCTTATCTATTTCTTCATTCTCTCCATTCTTTTGTGTATTCTATGAATAATCTCAATGTCATGCACAACGTCATACATATACACAACATAGTAGGTTGGTTAAAACAGTCATATATCTCAAAGTACATACCAAAAAATTCCTGGAATGACATTGTGCCTTTGAACCAGAAATGGGCAACTGTTGCCAGTAAATTTAGATGCAGAGGTGATGTTGTATTTGAGCAATTGAAAGGGATCTGAACAACTCTAAAAAGGCAAAAAGTTGTAAAGACATTAAATCCCAGGTAACAAATCCTTTACTCCATTCAGCAGTATTTGTATTTCTGTGCCAACAATTCTAAACTCTATTCCTACAACTCCATTAGGAATGCTTTCTTCAAAAACTCATCAAAGAGTTCTTGTATTTTTGTATTTGCCAAAAGACCAGTGGACATTTTCATGTTTCTTCTATTTCTTGACCTCTTTAAGACATTTGAAATTACTTAACTGTCCTCCTTCTTAAATTCTTTGCTGGGCTTCTCTGGTCCCACTCTTCTGTTTTCTTTCTGTATGTCTTCCATCCTAGTCTGTCATGCACAATTTTTTCTCTACTTCTTTTTTTTAAAGATTAAAAAATAATATTTTCGAGAGGAGGGGAAGCACAGAGAGAGAGGGAGACACAAGGATCTGAAGCAGGCTCTGAGCTGACAATAGAGAGCCCGATATGGGGCTCGAACTCACAGACTTTGGGATCATGACTTAAGCTGAAGTTGGACGCTTAACCAACTGAGCCACCCAGAAGCCCCATCTCTATGTGACTTCTAAATATCTAAAACCTCCATTCTTTCCTCCTGCTATTCACTCTCTTCACACACTCCTTGGGTAACTCATACTTCTAACTACTATTTCTGTCCACCAAATGTCTTCCAAAACTAGTGCTCTCCTCTGAGTGCCCGACTTGTGGGTTGAACTGCCTAATTCCTAATTCTTGATGTCTCCATTTTGATGTCACACTAGTGCCCCCAACTCAACATTCCCAAACTGAATTTTTCCATATTTCTCTTCATTCTTTCTTTCCTTTTCTTTTTTTTTAAAGTAAGCTCTACATTCAATGTGGGGCTTAATTTGTGACCCTGAGATCTATTAAATTTTAAAAAATATTTACTTATTTTTGAGAGAAAGAGACAGTGTTGAGAAGGGGAGGGGCAAAGAGAGGGGGACACACAGAATCCAAAGCAGGCTCTAGGCTCTGAGCTGTCAGCACAGAGCATGACCCTGAGATTGAGAGTCGCAGGCTCTACCAACTGAGCCAGCCAGCCACTCCTCTTTAAACATTCTTGTGTGGACTAAAGATAAATTCTTTACCACTCTACCTATCAAGAAGTAGAGGTCTATTTCCACTCCCCTTGAATCTGGGCTTGTCCTATGACAGGTATTGACCAAGAGTATAGTGTATAACTTTTTTTTTTTAACATTCAAGGGTGAAATTTAATAAAATTAATAATTTTATCACAAGATCAAGAAATACATAAATGAAACTCAATGAAGACTAGTTCCTAGTTACAAATTTTCAAAGCTGATATCACTTCCACCTATTAATACTAAGAATAGAAGAGGCAATCTTCCTTACGGTTTTCTTCTGTGCACTGAGTTCATTACACTGTGGTACAGCTCTGGGATATCAGTTTTGTGCAACAAAGGGATCTTATTAGACTTCCCATCTTGTGGGCATGAGAAGTGCTAGATTTTTTCTGCAACTCCATGCAGAGGCAAAAACAGTAAATCATGGCTTCAGTAGAAATCCTCATTGGAAAACCTATGATGAATACTTATATTCTAGACTTCCTGTTTTCAATTTTTTTAAAATAAATTTCTTTGGGTTTTTTTCTATCTGTGTTATTTTAGAAGTGCATTTACAAAGATCATTTGGTCATATTTTACCCAAGTTTTTAACTATTTTCCAATAGAGGAGTTATCCATGCTAGCTAGTCAGGTCACACGGCCAGAAGCAAAATTCTTCATTTGAATTTTACAGGAATAGAACTAGTGTATAACTTTTGAGGTCAGGCCTTAAGAGATCTCCAGTTTCCATATTCACCTCTGGAACATCCCTTCTCAAAACATGGACACTATTTTGTGAGGAAACCTGAATAACTCTGTAGAGAGACCCTCATGAGGAGACTAGAGGCTGCTGGCCAATAGCCCTTCTTGAGCTCCTAAATGTCACCAGTACTACCTGCCAACCATGTGAATGAGGCTATTCTTGAATCCTCCAACTGTAGTCAAACTGCCCCAGCCAATGCTATGTGAAGAATAGTCAGGTCACCCATGCTAAGTCCTGAGAGGGTCATGAGTAAATATGTGGTTGTTGTCCTATGTTTGTAAGTTTTGGGGTGGTTTATTATTTGGTAATAGATAACAGACATTTCTTATCGTGTTCTTCTGAATTCCCTATCTCAATAAAAATGGTATTGCCATTCTACTAGCTGTCCAAACAAGAAGCTGGAAGACATCTTAAACTCTTCCTTCACTCAACATATCAAATCTTACAGAACCTTGCTTCTATCCATCACTCAGACTCAGCATCATTTTCCACTACCACTGCTACTGGCTAATCATTGCTCTTCTAGGTAAATTGCAATAATAGTCTCTTTGTCATTCCAGTCTTTTCCAGACCATTTTGTCAAAACGATCCAACCAAAATACAAAATCTCTTCATGTCACTTCTGTGCTTAAAATCCTTTAAAGACTCCTCTTCCTTTTCAAGGAGAGTTCAAATTCTTTATCAGGCCTCACAGTCAGGCTTCCACTAACTTCTTCAGCTGCTAGTTCCCTCATCATGCACCCCCCACAATACTAATTTATTTCCTATTTTCCAGATTCATCCTACAACTAGCTATCCTTTTGCTTTCCAACATGCAGTTTTCCAAAATGCCTTGCAAAATGCCATTTGTGGTGAATATGCACCCAGGTAATTCTTACTCGTCTTATTAGTCCTACAAGCCACTTTTTGCCTAAATGCTCTCCATTGATATTGTTTTTGACACTTTTTCTTTGAGGACAAGATCAGAGTCGGATTCATTTTTCTATCTCAAGTTACTATCACACTCCCCAGCATGTTGTAGGAGCTCAGTGAATGTTTATTATCTGAATGAATAAAGATACAGAATTGTGCTATCAAAAATTTTCATCCTCGAGTAGATATTACTAGTATTGGGGCTTATTTCCTCATTGTTAAAAGGGTTCAGTGAGGTATGGCTCCTTTTATCAGTTGCTCTGGCCTCCACAATTCCTGCTGAGCATATGTACAAAGCCCCTTCCACACCTCTTGCCTCCACATGCCCAAGCATACATTTCTCAGGTGCTGGATATGAGCCATTCCTCCCAATCTCTTCATCTCATTTGATTCCACTCTTTCCCTGCTTAGACACTGCTTTTCCTACTCCACAAAGCTACATGGCACAGCATGGTGCTTAAGAATGTACATCCTGGACACCCTCCTATACTGTTGGTGGGAATGTAAACTGGTACAGCCCCTCTGGAAAACAGTGTGGAGGTTCCTCAGGAAACTACCAATAGAACTCCCCTATGAACCAGCAATAGCACTGCTAGGAATTTACCCAAGGGATACAGAAATGCTGAGGCATAGGAGCACATGTACCCCAATGTTCATAGCAGCACTCTCCACAATAGCTAAAACATGGAAAGAGCCTAAGTGTCCATCAACAGATGAATGGATCAAGAAGATGTGGTTTATCTATACCATGGAATACTACATGGCAATGAGAAACAATGAAATCTGGCCATGTGTCGCAACATGGATGGACCTTGAGGGTGTTATGCTGAGCGAAATAAGTCAGGCAGAGAAGGACAAATATCATATGTTTGCACGTATAGGAGGATTAGGAGGAACTTGATGGAGGAACAAGGGGGAGAAGAAGGGGGAAATGGTGGGGGAAAGGGAGAGAGGCAAACCATGAGAGACTCTTGAATGCTGACAAAAACTGAGGACTGATGGATGTGGGGGGGAGGGGGGATGGGCATGGAGGAGGGCACTTTGGGGATGAGCACTGAGTGTTATGTGGAAACTAATTTGACAATAAACTATTTGAAAAAAAAAAAAAAAAAAAAAAAAAAAGAATGTACATCCTGGAATAAGACTGACTGGTGTGAATCTCAGCCCCAACTTCTTCCTAACTGAGTAACCTTGGACAAGTGACCTAACTGTCCTGTGTCTCAGTTATTCACCTGTGCTCAATGGACTCATATACAGAGAGACAGCCATTTGCAGTTCTTTTAAGAATTAAATGATATTCCAGGTAAATAGTGATTGCAACACAGTAAATGCTCAATAAATATTGCTCTCTTGACCTTATTCTGACTTTGTCATTTCAGATCAGTTTAACAAACATGTATTGAGTGTCTACTAGAAGCCAGGTATGGGGGGAAGGGGGGATGGCAGGTACTGTCTGCATCAAGGATATTAGAGCCATTGGGATTTGATGCACATTATTATCTTTCCAGTGAGGAGTTGAACTCTTCCTAACTATGGTCTTGCTCTCTCATCCACTCGGCTTGCGTGTCTCTTCAGCGGAGACCTAGCTCCATTCACAAGCCCACAGTCCCAGAACATCCCCCATGAAACTGAAAAAAAGGAGCAGTGGCTATATACCGCCAGATCTAGTGTTCAGGTTAAAGAAACATCCACTCATTCGTTGTTTCATTTGTATTCACTTGACAAATACATTTTAGTTGTTAACCATGCAGTAGGCTCAGTGATAGGCACTGGGGCTATAATGGTGACCAAGACAGGGTCCTGACATTAAGAAGATTTCAGCTGCGGGCAGAGGAATCTGGCTTCTGGGCAGGCTGGAAGGGTGGGGCTGCCGACCCCAGAACCAGTGCTCCCTGAGCTCCCAGAACCCACCCCACACCCTCTGTGGCTCAGGCTACCCTTTTAGGAGCTTTGTCTATACCCTTGATGCTTCCATCAGAGATTCCGGTGAATTTTCATTGCTGTCCAGCTTCCAAGTGCAGCTTAACAGTTTCACCATTGTGCAGGCCTCATGATTCCCTGATTAGGTGGAATGAAGGAGAATGAAGAGAGAACCAAGACCCTGGTCTGACCAGGCAAACTTCTTGATGAAGACTGGAGTTCTAGGGTGAACTCTCCATGTTTAATAACCTTCCTCATTCTTATTGTATTCCCCTTAGGGTTTCTGGCATGAGAATATCCCGTTCATTTTTATGATCTAACAAAGAATCTACTTTATGGAAACCTAGGGTACCCAGCCAATTACATCTGTATTCCCTTTCTTCACCGTTTAGAGTTACAAAATGACATGTCATTTTCTGGCAAGGTTGCTGTCTCTTCTGTTAGATGAAATATTTCCTTCATCAAAACTTTCCTTTTAAATTTGTTTGTTTATATTCTGCCTTTTTAGCAAAAGATGCATGGTAATTTATAGGAAGCAAGAATAGTATAAGAGAAAATTATAAATTAAAAAAAATTATGATGAGAAAATTTCATAATTAATAGAAGCTCTGGATCCAAAAGAAGAAATGGATTTCAGATTAGTGGCCCATAAGTTCTTAATCTATTGTTATAATTCAGTTTAAAACGTTGCTCTGTACTTTCAGGTCACATGAAAAGAGAAACCAGTTGGGTACCAAAAATCTCATTACCAGAAAGAGGAAACATACAGGATCCTCATGGGAAGTAAAGCTATTCTATTTCTGAATTGTCATTCAGAAAGACAATTTTCACATCAGGCTTCATCTAGGGGAACCCTAGGCCTGGAGAATATAATGTAACATCCCTTGAAAGAAGCTCAGGGCTATTTAGGGCAATGGCTTAAAAACACACTCAGTGGACGCAGCTCTGCAAGAGGTGACACAGCCCCTGCCCTCAGCTTCCATGTGCTTCAACCTGACACAGAACAAGACCTGGACCCTGCAGAGGTTCTTTAGTATGTCCCCTGGGGCCATTGCTGGGGTTGGAACAGGGAATTGGTCAGGGAGGGAAGAGTCCCACTGGGAGGGGCCCTCAATGTCACATGTAAGAACGTGGCCTTGGCCTGAGGGGAAGTCCTTAGAAGATTTGAAGCAGGAGAATGATGCAGTCCATGTCCATGTACTAAAAAGAGCACCCAGCAGTGTGTAGGAAATATCACAGGTGCCAAGACCAGAAAGCAGGAAAACCAGTCAGAGAGGCCACTGGAGAAAATCAGATGGGAGATGATGAAGGCCTGAAATAAGCAGAAGAAGTGGGATTGGAGAAAAGGCACAAAGAGGGGGGAAAAGTGACACAGTGATGCAATCAAAAAGACTTAGAGAATACCCTTGAGGGGCCAGGCTATCATACAGAAGAGGCTTCATGAGTTACTACTCAGATCCGCTGGTAGTGGTTACTAGTAGTCCAGTCAGGAAAAAGAGTTTAGGGCCCAGTCTAGGGTCAGTTGAAAAGAATGATGGATCAGTGATGTCCACCATGGATGCAGAATGGGAGAATTTTGGCATTCCTGGTATTTACCATTCCTAGCCTCTGGCAAAAGAAGCATAAAAATGTACCGTTTCAAAATGTACATACTGTGTAGTTCCATGTATATACGAAGATCTAAAACAGACAAAACTAATTTATGGTGACGGGAATCAGAAAAGTGGTTACCAGTGGTGGGTGGCAGGGGGGTTGCTGACTGAGAAGGGCCAGAGAAAACTTTTTGGGGCGTGGAAATATTCTGTATCTTAATCTGGGTGGTGACTATATAGGTGTACACATACGTAAAAATTCATTACGCTATATGCCCTTAAGATTTGTGACCTAATTGGGGCGCCTGGGTGGCTTAGTCGGTTGAGCGTCCGACTTTCACTTAGGTCATGATCTCGCGGTTCGTGGGTTCGAGCCCCGCGTCGGGCTCTGTGCTGACTGCCAGCTCAGAGCCTGGAGCCTGTTTCAGTCTGTGACTCCCTCTCTCTCTGACCCTCCCCTGCTCACGCTGTCTCTCTCTCTCCTAGAAATAAATAAAACATTAAAAAAAAAAGATTTGTGACCTAATTTATTATATGAAGGTCATATCTCAATTTAAAAAGCAGGGGAGAAATTCCTCCACAACCTTTGTGTGGCTGAAGAAATGTATTAAGATGTAACATACAAGTAGACATTATTCACAATTTGTCTTAATACACATGATACCCACCTGAATGCAAGGCATGCTTTTGGATCTGCTCAAGTTCCTATAGACTGTGGCCATTTCTTTTATAGTCTTGTCCATTTCCTTAGCTGAGGTCACGTGGACTATAATGACCTGATCCACCGAGGACAGCTGGGTGCCTATAAGGTGATCATACTCCAGGTCTGTCACTTTGGGGATGCTGTAAGTGCCACATTGGCGTGTTCCCCCTTCCTTCCCACACAATGTCCTGCTGAGGACCACAGGACAAAGCAGCTGGGAGGCGAACCATGTATCCTTGCTCTCAGTGAGAGGAAGAGGAGGCCTAGAAATGTAATGGTTAGAAATCATGTTCAAAGAACTGAATGGACAGAAAAAATGTCACTTCGAAAAGAACCAAAGTGGCTACTTTGGTAAACCACTTCAATTTAATTCTGGACAGAATTTTATGTGCCAGCACACTAAAATACTTGTCAAAACACTAAAAGAGTTCAGGGTAAGCCTTTTCAGTTACATAAGCACCTGTGGCTCTGAAACAGACATAAGCTATGTCAGTTCAGAGGACTTAACTGATCCAAATGATTGCAAATAATTGACCACTAAGGATGAGATTTAGAGTGTTAATTTCAGTTTAACAAATGAAAGAAGAATGCATTGAGGCTGGTCTGTAATCTTCGTTCCCTCTTACAAATGGGGAAAACTGGGGCTCAGGAAATTCAATAATATGATTAAAACACACAAGTAGTAACTGATAAGAGCTGGAACGTGAACCTGTGTGGTTTCTTTTCTGTTATAATACTGCTGTCTTGCTGACCAGAGGTGAAATATCTACAGCATACTTTTGAGTTGATTTATGTGGATTAATAGCCTGGATAAATCATGTAACCCAATAGTCAGAATGGACATCAGAAAGCTAAATTTGGATCGGTCCTCTATCACCAATTCTCAACGTGACTATAAATCTTCTGACTTTTTATGCGTCAGTATTAACATCCATAATGTAGGGCTAAGTTTCCACAAAACTTCTAGGAAGGTTATGAGGCTTCTAAAAACAAACTCTGTGAATTTTAATTACACTTAAAGAATTTTTATGTGATGCTGAAATTTGTTAAATAAAATATTTTAATTGAGTTGCTTAAAACTGGTATTCCTGGTAGCTAGAAGAGTATTTTTTAATCATCATTATAATATTCGGTGTTGGCTTCATTTTCTTTACACTGAACCTGAGGAACTTAGTAAATGTGATAAATGCCCAGTTGTGTTGTTGAAGTTTTGTTTTTCAAAATGTCTTGATTCTTCCCCCTTGGTAAAAGTACATTTCTGAGAAATGATGATTATATATTTCCTCGTGATAAGAAAACCCACACACGTAAATATAACACGTTATTTTGTTTTTCACTTTCATGCTCTACTGGACCTATTTTCTTTTTTAATATTTTAAAATGTTTTTTATTTATTTTTAAGAGTCAGAGATAGACAGCACGAGCAGGCGAGGGTCAGAGAGAGAGAGATACAGAATCCGAAAACAGGCTCCAAGCTCCGAGCTAGGTGTCATCACAGAGCCTGACTCAGGGCTCGAACCCACGAACTGTGAGATCATGACCTGAGCTGAAGTTGACGCTTAACCAACTGAGCCACCCAGGCGCCCCTGTTTTGTTTTTTTGTTTTTTAATTTTTTAAAATGTTTTTTGGACCTATTTTCAACATCACGTCTTTTTTCCCTCCTTTCTAGCCATATTGTTTACTAGTGAATTTAGATACAGGCCAACTCAGAAATGGACCTTCTTTTTTTTGGAAAGAGAGGCAAATAATTTCAATAGAATACTGTTGCTCTGAAACCTTCAGAATCTGAGTAGAACGAACTTGTATTCATTATAGTAAAAGTTTATATATATGCATATCAGTGTGTGCACGTAGACCACTTAACATATTAAAAAAAGAAAACAAACAGCTTTGTACACACCACCAAGCTTTATCAAATCTTAGTATTTTACTACATTAGCTATCCATATATCCTTTTTTCAGTATTATAATTTCAGATACAACAATCCTTATAGCCCCAAGGATGCCTCCTGATTTCACTCAGCTTTTAACCCTGATTTTGATGTATTCCATTCTCAAACATGTTACATAAATATGTCATAATCCATAATTTTTCAGGGTTAGGGTTTTTAGTTGCAAGCAACAGAAACAAACTGGTCAATTTAAGCAAACACACCAAAAAAAAGAATGTATTAAAAAGCTCAGAAAATCTTTGAAAAGGTGGAAGAATCAGGCTACAGGGTCCACTGCCAGGGAAAACGTCCCTGATTGTGCTGTAGAACTTGTCCACTCTGGACACCACATTCACAGCTGCTGGGCCGACTCTGCGCAGCAGGCGCTGCTGGCTCAGACCACTGCCGTGAGAACAACAGCCAGCATAGCCTCTGGGAGCCGTGTGGAGCTGATGCCCTTCCTTGCCTGGAGGTTCTGGACAGCCCCTGGAGCTGCATGGAAATCTGGGCCAGATACATGGGATTGGTGGAAAGTGAGTCATGTACCTAGGCCCCAGCTTCAGAGGGGACTGGGAAAGCATGAATCTGGCATTGTGTTAATCTATAGTGGACATGCACTCTGCTTTGGCAAGTAGAGGAGTCCTCAAAGATAGAAAGTTGGTTCAGAGACTGGATGGTCTAAACAGTAGTTGTCCAATGGCAGTTGTCCACAACAAAAAATTCATACCTCCTCTTGGTAATGGACATTTAGGTATCTTCTTATTTTTAACTGTTGCAAACTGCTGCAATGAAATTTTTGTACATTTCCTTCTTTTGTACATATGACTTTCATTTTGATGTAGTTTAACTTATTAACCATCTTCCTTATGTTTGTGTTTTTTGGTGTGTGTTTGGTTTAAGAACTTATTTTCTGGTGCCTGGGTGGCTCAGTCAGTTGAGCCTCTGTCTTCAGCTTAGGTCATGATCTCTCAGTTCGGTTCATGAGTTTGAGCCCCACACTGGGCTCCCTGCTGTCAGCACAGAGCCCACTTCAGATTCTCTGTCCCTCTCTCTCTGCCCATCCCACAATTACGCTCTCTCTCTCTTTCCCTAAAATAGACGTATAAAAAAAGAATTTATGGGGCGCCTGGGTGGCTTAGTCGGTTAAGCGTCCGACTTTCGCTTAGGTCATGATCTTGCGGTTCGTGGGTTCGAGCCCCGTGTCGGGCTCTGTGCTGACTGCCAGCTCAGAGCCTGGAGCCTGTTTCAGAGTCTGTGACTCCCTCTCTCTCTGACCCTCCCCTGCTCACGCTGTCTCTCTCTCTCTCCTGGAAATAAATAAAACATTTAAAAAAAAAGAATTTATTTTCTACCTCAAGGTGACAAAAACATTCTTCTTACATTTCCTTCTAAATATTTTATTTGGCTTTTCATAGTTTGCTCTTTAATCTATTTGGAGTTTATGATGGGAAGTAGGAATATAAGATAGGTAGTTAGGTAGTAGATAGATAGATAGATAGATAGATAACCAGTTGTCCCACCACCATTGATTGAATAATCCATTCTTTCCTCACTGGTTTGTATTGCTATCTCTGTTGTGTATTAAATTTCCATATGTGTCTGGGTCTGAACTGGGGCTCTCTATTCTGTTCCATTGATCTAACAAGCCTGGCGCCTATACCATAATATCTTCATTACTATCACTTCCTAAAAGGCCTTGAAATCTGGTCAGGCAAATCCTTCCACTATGTTTTTCTTCTTCAATGTATTAATGCTATTTCTAGAGTTAGCTTCCATATAACTCAAAGAACACAATGATTTAAAAAAAAAAAAAAACAACTTCTAGTATGTATGATTTGGTACACAGTATGAGTGCTAAGGAGTAACAAGAGACCAAACAATATCACCCTTGCCAGCGGCTGGACAGTAGCAGAGAGCTCTGAGAGCAAGACACAGGGAGTTACTATCAAATAATTCAGGCACGTTTGGATTTAAAGTTCTGATCTCCATCCTGTAAAGAACAGGCTGCCAGAATTCCCGGCCCCAGTAACACCTTCTTGTTTTCACATGATCACTTATTGCTTCATCCCCATCTTCACCTACAAGGAACCTACACAGATGAATACAGAGCCTACCAACATCAAGGCCTTGGAAGAGGCATTCTGAGCAATTCCAATGTGCCAGCTAGTGTGCCTACCACCCAAGCTGCTTGCTGGCCTTGAGACTTGGTCTGCTAGTATTCCTAATATTCATGAGGCAGGATACCACCCCACCATTATTGGACTTGTTTCTGAATGTGAGGCCTTGGGGTTCTGGATATTGGTTACTGAAAACCCAATAGGCAGGGAGGGATAAACACCCCCACACACACACACCCACACACACACACACATGTCAAGGTTTTAGCATGTCTACCATCCCAAAACTCTCCAATGTAAGGAAGTTAATATAAATCAGCCTGTTAGTGAGATATATACTATTTTATTGTGTGCTTAAGAAATTCAGACTGGCTCTCTATACCTGTTGGTATATTGAGAATGTTGGTAATTTCCTTGCTTTTTGACAAGCTAATTTCTATTTTAGCTAGCCCACAGGCCCAGTTCTTAGAGGACTGAACTGTTTTTCTAGCAGATGATCTCTGGGTCCTCCTCATGGTAACTTTGTCTTTCCATTTCCTTCCAATAAGTTGTCACTTTCTATCATGATGCACATTTGAAGTTACAATCAGCAATGTGACCCTCAGAATGCAATTTATTGAATAAAGCTAAAAAGAGCAGTAAACAGTTAAAAAATACATCCATCTAAATTTTAAAATGTATTTATAAACATTAGTAACTGTTAAGGTTTCACCTGCAGAATTTAATGCACAGGAAAATGCTGGTAGTAAAGTAATATCTGAAATGCTAAAAATGCTGAAATGCTGAAAGAAATAAACAAATACACAAACACATTAAGGTATAGCTATAGGTCAACTAACAAACTTATAAAGTCCCCATAGAGTCACATTCTAGCTCCAATTTCTCCTGTTACGTGCAAGCAAGTTGCCACATTCTTTGCAGTGGTTCACAGTCATTATTGATGGAGTTGAACTACAGGAGTAAGTTTACATATCCCTTTGTCTACAGAACCATCCATCTTATCAAGGAAGTATGTAACATGCCTCAAAGAGTAAGAACCGAATTTTAAAGTTTATTTATTAATTTTGAGAGAGAGAGAGAGAGAGACAGAGCACGTGAGTAGGGGAGGGGACACAGAGGAGAATCCCAAGCAGGATCTGCGCTGCCAGCACAGAGCCTGAAGCAAAGCTAGATCTCAGGAACCCTGAGATCATGACCTGAGCCAAAGTCAAGCT